CCCACACCCCCTCCCCCCTCCCTCCCTTCCTCCCAATCAACCGACCCGACTGCCACCACCAACTCGCGTGCGCAACGTACGTGACGGTCCAGCTGCCGTCGTGGCTGTCTGAGGGCACCGACTCTGTCGTGATCGACGCCGAGGCCGTGGCCTGGGACCCCGTGGCTAAGAAGATCCAGCCCTTCCAGGTGGCGGGCTGCACTGGTCTTGTTCGGGGTGTTGGGCCTGGGGTGGAATGAAGTGTGATGGGTGGCCGACGGGGAGGAGGGCGGGCGGCGAAGTTGGTCTTGTGCAGGAGTGCAGTCGCGCCTTGCCTTGCTCTCCGTTTCTGGAGGGTGTGAGTGCTGGGGGGTGGTCCGGGGGGGAACAGGGAAAAGGGGTTGTCGCGCGCTGGGAGAATGGGCGCGTTGGCGTGGGGTCTGGTGGGGTCGGGCTGGGAGGAGGGTCGTGAGGCCGGGAGGCATGGCCTGGCATAGGGCCCGCTCGCGGGTGTGATGCCGCGGCGGGTCGCGTGTGAGGAGGAAGGGGCTGCACAACACCGCGAAATTGTCTCCCATTTGCACCCCTCCCGCCTCCCCCCTTACCAGCAAAGGCACGCATGCACACACATGCGCGCACAAACCAAATCCCAAATTCACACGCGAACCCACACACAAACCCACTAACGCACACTCTCGCAACGTTTGTGGCGTGCGCGTGGCCCCAGGTGCTGTCCACGCGTGCGCGCAAGGATGTGGAGGTGGCCGACATCAAGGTGTGTGACGTCATGATGACGCACGCGCGCACGCGCACGCATGTGTGTGTGTGTGTGTGTGTGTGTGTGTGTGTGTGTGTGTGTACGCGCGCGCGTGTGTGCGCGCGTGCTTGCGTGTGTGTTTCCGAGCCGTGCCTACTCGCGAATCATATGCCTCGTTGTGGCACGCGGCACGCCGCCCGAGGGCCCACGAGAATGGCCACTTCTAGGCGCCCCCACACCCCACCCCGCGGCCCTGGCACATCCCCAACGCGCGATCCCCAATTCCATCCAAACCAACCCCCATCTCGCCACCAACCCTCAAAGCTGAGCCCCCCCGAACGGGCACCCTGAACCCTACAAATCCCTTCTTGTTTCTCCCCCGCCCCCGCGGCCCCGCAGGTCCAGGTGGCTGTGTACGCCTTTGACTGCCTCTACCTCAACGGCCGCTCCCTGCTGCACGCGCCCCTGAGCGAGCGCCGCGCGGCGCTGTACTCGTCCCTCAAGCCGGCGGAGGGCCAGCTGGCGTTCGCCACCGCCAAGATCAGCCGCGACGTGGAGGAGCTGGCGGTGGGCCGGGCCGGGCTTGGGGTTTGGGGGGTTTTGGGGTCCAGATTCAGCGCGTAGCGTTTACGGACGGGTTGCCCTGAGGGTGGTCCAGGATTTGAAAGCGACGTCAAGAAGCTGGGGGTTGGGGTCAGCCCGGGGGTTTTGGGGTCCAGGTTCAGGGTGTAGCGTTCAGGGTTTAGGGACAGGTCGCCGCGGGGGTGGGCTGAGGACCGAGAGCGATGTCGAGGATCTGGTGGTGGGGGGCGGCCCTGGGGATCTAGGGACTAAAGTTGAGATTTGGGGTTGAAGGTTGAGAGTTTCGGGTGCTAAACAGGTTGGCCTGCAGACGGGTTTGGGATGTTGGGCAACTGATGGCGGGATGCCTGGAGGCGCCAGCTCCTGCGACTGGGTGGTCTGTCATCCAGGGGCCTTGCTCTTCCGCCCTTGTCCCCCTGTACACCCTTCCTCCCCGTTTCCCTTCCAGACACGATCACCCCGTCCCCCCCACACAGCACACACACACACACACTCTCTCTCACACACAGACATTCACCCACTCACCTTCTCCAGGCGTTCTTGAACGAGGCGGTGGCCGCCTCCACGGAGGGCCTCATCGTCAAGACCATGGACGACGTATACCAGGTCAGCACCCCCTAGATCTCAGATCACAGCATCAGATCTGGCTGCGCCCGAGCGTCGCACGTTCCATGGCGATCTCGATCAGGGACTTGTGACCTGGGCCTCAGAGCCGCACCGTTGGAGTTGTGCTGCTCTAGATGACACAGGCTGCACTCCGCTTTGCATAGCGATGTGGGCTGCGTCGTCGTCGCGTTTTGTTGCGGCCACAGGGCGAGCTCCTCCCACCACCCTGGCACGACCCTTCACCCCCGCGACCAATCAAACTGGGCCGCGCCCTCACCGCGTCAAACGCCCCGCACCCCGCAGCCGAGCCGCCGCTCCACCCACTGGCTGAAGCTCAAGAAGGACTACCTTGACGGCTGCGGGGACACCTTTGACGTCGTGCCCATCGGGGGGTACTACGGTGGGCGCTTTTTGGGGGGGGGGGTGGGCTGGGCAGGGAGGGAGAGAGAGAGTGAGGGACGAGACGCACCGCCGCGGTCCGCGGCGAGCCCGGCTGCTTGGGTGGATGTGATGGGGTGGTGCATTCTGCCGTAGCAGGGGCGCGCGGCGCGGCGCTGAAGGGGTGGAGGGGCGGGGCCGTCCGACCGCGGGGCGGGTCAAGGGTGCGCGGTGGCGCGGCCCCCAGGC